AGGTACCCCGCCGGCCCTGTGGGAGAAGGGGCTCAGAGGCTGCTCTCTGCCTGTCCCGGGCTTTCCTCCCGCGTGTCTGCACCTCCATCCCTCGCCCTGCTCAGCAGTCTGTCAGGCCTTCTCATGAGGTGGGCCTCACGCGTACACTTTATTTAGTCGCATTGGCCTGTAAAGCAGGTACTTCTAGATGTTCTAAAAAGATCTCGGTTTTGCAGAGAAGGGAAACAGAGGCTGAGAAAGATGAACTAAATTGTCCCCCCGCCCCCCACACCATACAGCCCTAAGGAGCAGCGGGTTCCCATCTAGTCTGCTAACTCTGGGCTCTGCTTCTTGACCACCCAGTTCTACTGATCCCTTGCAGCCCTTGGATGTCCTGTCCTCCAGGGGCTGGCCTCCCTCTGCCTCAGCCCCCTGGATGTCTAGCCCACATCGCCCCTCACTATCCAGGCCCAGAATCACCCCATTCCCTGCGTAAGGTCCTTTCAACCCCTGGCAATTGCCGGCTTCCCCAGCCCGTCCTCTGAGGCTCCCCGAGCCCTCCGTGTGCCCCAGGCCCGGGCCCTGCTGCTGGCCCCAGTCCAGCCGAGAAGAGTCCCTCTTCTAGCCGCACCTTCCATGCTGCTGCACCCCGACCCTCTCAGGGTCTGCTCCAAAGTCAGACTGTCAGAGCATGTGGCCTGCCTGGGCCAGGGATCAGCTCTGTGGACTGGTTAAAGTGTCACCAGTGTCTCCCTTTGCCACTGGAAGCCCTGCACGCCAGGGGCCAGAGTCCAGCAGCCATGCAAGTGCCCCGTGGCTCGCATGCTGCAGACTCTCCATTGGCCTGTTGATGGGGTCTGGTCAAGGAGCCCAGGCCAGGGTCTATAGCTTAGCACAGAAGGAGCTCCCGAATTCCTCCCAGCCAGCCGCAGATACGAGTGCCTAGGCCTTCCACCCCCACTCGTGATTCCCTCGCTCGTTTCCCCCTCTGTGCAATGGCATCTGTTCCCCCCTTACCTCCCGGAGCCCCGATCAGGATGGACTTAGCGAAGTCTCTTTGGGACCTAGAGACCCATGACCAAAGCTCCTGTGGTGGCACGTTGTCCTGGGTCCACATGTTTCCACAATGAGGGGCTGCGGCTGCTGGTCGGGCCTGGGAGGGAGAGGAGGAGAAAACTGCTGGTCTTATCTAAGGGAGCCAGAGAATAGAAAAGGGCACACCCAGGAGGCCGCCCTGTCCCTGCACGGACTGGCTCCCCCGCCTGCCCGCTCTCTGCCCGCGCCTGCGGCGT